TTTTGTCTCTTCTCATTTTTTTTTCTGAGACAGAGTCTACCTCTCTCGCCTGGACTAGAGTGAGTGCCGTGGCATCAGCCTCGTCACAGTAACCTCACACTCCTGGCTCAAGATGCTCATCCTCCACAAGCAATCTCAGTGAGAAGAGAGAGGAACCCAATGATTTCAATTAATTAATGAGGAATTTGGGTCCTCTAAAACCATTTTGCTTGGATTCCCTCCCTACGAGCCATGAGCAAGAAAACTCACAGAAACTAACTGTTCCCAAGTATAGGTCTAGACTGTGTAAAAATAAAGACTTCTGTCCTCCCCTGATAAAAATCATAAAGTCAAAAACTAAGTAGGCCGGGCGTGGTGGCTCATTCCTCTCATCCTAGCACCCTGGGAGGCTGATGCCAGAGGATTGCTTGAGGTCAGGAGTTGGAAACCAGCCTGAGCAAGAGTGAGACCCCGTCTCTAGTAAAAATACAAAGAAATTAGCCAGACAACTAAAAATATATAGGAAAAATTAGCCTGGCATTGTGGTGCATGCCTGTAGTCCCAGCTACTCAGGAGGCTGAAGTTGAAGAATCGCTTTAGCCCAGGGGTTCAAGGCTGCCATGAGGCATGATCTCGCCATCATACTCCAACATGAACCACACCTTGTCTCCAAATAAATAAACACACAGGCTAATGTTTTATGGTTTTAGGTTTGGGATTTTTTTTTTGGGAGGGGGGGCGGTGTTTGTTTTTGCCCCACACTCAAAGCGAATACCTAAACACCTTAACCCTTTGCACTCAGATGTCGAGACTCGACACGCTTAGCAAAAATTATAGAGATTAAAATTACTCTTTGAAAAAAAAATAAAAAAAATAAAAATAAAAAATAAAATTACTCTTTGAATGTATCAATAATTTGAAATATTAAAAAATCCAAATAAATAAGTTGGTATGAAAAGAAACTCCAGCTTTTTATTCTACTGTCGCGCTTTGTAAAATCTGGGATATTTAAAAAATTAAATCCTGAGTAGAATAAAGGAATCGAGAAAAAAGCAAGCGAGTGCAAAGGGTTAAGAATTAGAGCAGTAAAGTAAGTTCTTGAACGATCATTAGGTTATCTTTTTCAGAAGTCAAGTCTAAGTGGTTTAGCCTTCCTTCACCTTCACCATCTCCACAAAAGGTTTAATTAGTGTCAGAGGATGAACCAAGAGAATGTCCCCACTGATTCTCTCTTGCTCTGTACGCACCATAATGCCACTCAAAG